TAGTTCAGTTCTAGTTCAGTTCTAGTTCAGTTCTAGTTCAGTTCTAGTTCAGTTTAGTTCAGTTCTAGTTCAGTTCTAGTTCAGTTCTAGTTCAGTTCTAGTTCAGTTCTAGTTCAGTTCTAGTTCAGTTCTAGTTCAGTTCTAGTTCAGTTCTAGTTCAGTTCTAGTTCAGTTCTAGTTCAGTTCTAGTTCAGTTCTAGTTCAGTTCTAGTTCAGTTCTAGTTCAGTTCTAGTTCAGTTCTAGTTCAGTTCTAGTTCAGTTCTAGTTCAGTTCTAGTTCAGTTCTAGTTCAGTTCTAGTTCAGTTCTAGTTCAGTTCTAGTTCAGTTCTAGTTCAGTTCTAGTTCAGTTCTAGTGCAGTTCAGTTCAGTTCTAGTTCAGTTCTAGTTCAGTTCTAGTTCAGTTCTAATTCAGTTCTAGTTCAGTTCTAGTTCAGTTCTAGTTCAGTTCTAGTTCAGTTCTAGTTCAGTTCTAGTTCAGTTCTAGTTCAGTTCTAGTTCAGTTCTAGTTCAGTTCTAGTTTCAGTTCTAGTTCAGTTCTAGTTCAGTTCTAGTTCAGTTCTAGTTCAGTTCTAGTTCAGTTCTAGTTCAGTTCTAGTTCAGTTCTAGTTCAGTTCTAGTTCAGTTCTAGTTCAGTTCTAGTTCAGTTCTAGTTCAGTTCTAGTTCAGTTCTAGTTCAGTTCTAGTTCAGTCGTTCAGTTCTCTTCAGTTCTAGTTCAGTTCTAGTTCAGTTCTAGTTCAGTTCTAGTTCAGTTCTAGTTCAGTTCTAGTTCAGTTCTAGTTCAGTTCTAGTTCAGTTTAGTTCAGTTCTAGTTCAGTTTCTAGTTCAGTTCTAGTTCAGTTCTAGTTCAGTTCTAGTTCAGTTCTAGTTCAGTTCGTTCAGTTCTAGTTCAGTTCTAGTTCAGTTCTAGTTCAGTTCTAGTTCAGTTCTAGTTCAGTTCTAGTTCAGTTCTAGTTCAGTTCTAGTTCAGTTCTAGTTCAGTTCTAGTTCAGTTCTAGTTCAGTTCTAGTTCAGTTCTAGTTCAGTTCTAGTTCAGTTCTAGTTCAGTTCTAGTTCAGTTCTAGTTCAGTTCTAGTTCAGTTCTAGTTCAGTTCTAGTTCAGTTCTAGTTCAGTTCTAGTTCAGTTCTAGTTCAGTTCTAGTTCAGTTCTAGTTCAGTTCTAGTTCAGTTCTAGTTCAGTTCTAGTTCAGTTCTAGTTCAGTCTAGTTCAGTTCTAGTTCAGTTCTAGTTCAGTCTCAGTTCAGTTCTAGTTCAGTTCAGTCTAGTTCAGTTCTAGTTCAGTTCTAGTTCAGTTTCTAGTTCAGTTTAGTTCAGTTCTAGTTCAGTTTCTGTTCAGTTCTAGTTCAGTTCTAGTTCAGTCAGTTCAGTTCTAGTTCAGTTCTAGTTCAGTTCTAGTTCAGTTCTAGTCAGTTCTAGTTCAGTTCTAGTTCAGTTCTAGTTCAGTCTAGTTCAGTTCTAGTTCAGTTATAGTTCAGTTCTAGTTTCAGTTCTTAGTTCAGAGTTCTAGTTCAGTTCTAGTTCAGTTCTAGTTCAGTTCTAGTTCAGTTTCTAGTTCAGTTCTAGTTCAGTTCTAGTTCAGTATAGTCAGTTCTAGTCAGTTCTAGTTCAGTTCTAGTTCAGTTCTAGTTCAGTTTCTAGTTCAGTTCTAGTTCAGTTCTAGTTCAGTTCTAGTTCAGTTCCTAGTTCAGTTCTAGTTTCAGTTTTAGTTCAGTTCTAGTTCAGTTCAGTAAGTTTCAGTTCGTCTAGGTTCAGTTCTAGTTCAGTTCTAGTTCAGTTCTAGTTCAGTTCTAGTTCAGTTCTAGTTCAGTTCTAGTTCAGTTCTAGTTCAGTTCTAGTTCAGTTCTAGTTCAGTTCTAGTTCAGTTCTAGTTCAGTTCTAGTTCAGTTCTAGTTCAGTTCTAGTTCAGTTCTAGTTCAGTTCTAGTTCAGTTCTAGTTCAGTTCTAGTTCAGTTCTAGTTCAGTTCTAGTTCAGTTCTAGTTCAGTTCTAGTTCAGTTCTAGTTCAGTTCTAGTTCAGTTCTAGTTCAGTTCTAGTTCAGTTCTAGTTCAGTTCTAGTTCAGTTCTAGTTCAGTTCTAGTTCAGTTCTAGTTCAGTTCTAGTTCAGTTCTAGTTCAGTTCTAGTTCAGTTCTAGTTCAGTTCTAGTTCAGTTCTAGTCAGTTCTAGTTCAGTTCTAGTTCAGTTCTAGTTCAGTTCTAGTTCAGTTCTAGTTCAGTTCTAGTTCAGTTCTAGTTCAGTTCTAGTTCAGTTCTAGTTCAGTTCTAGTTCAGTTCTAGTTCAGTTCTAGTTCAGTTCTAGTTCAGTTCTAGTTCAGTCTTGTTCAGTTCTAGTTCAGTTCTAGTTCAGTTCTAGTCAGTTCTAGTTCGTTCTAGTTCAGTTCTAGTTCAGTTCTAGTTCAGTTCTAGTTCAGTTCTAGTTCAGTTCTAGTTCAGTTCTAGTTCAGTTCTAGTTCAGTTCTAGTTCAGTTCTAGTTCAGTTCTAGTTCAGTTCTAGTTCAGTTCTAGTTCAGTTCTAGTTCAGTTCTAGTTCATTCTAGTTCAGTTCTAGTTCAGTTCTAGTTCAGTTCTAGTTCAGTCTAGTTCAGTTCTAGTTCAGTTCTAGTTCAGTTCTAGTTCAGTTCTAGTTCAGTTCTATTCAGTCTAGTTCAGTTCTAGTTCAGTTCTAGTTCAGTTCTAGTTCAGTTCTAGTTCAGTTCTAGTTCAGTTCTAGTTCAGTTCCAGATTTAAAGTTCCTTTCGTTTTATTAATTTAATTTATTTATGTTTTCTAGTTAATCACTTGTCTTTAATTTAATTACGATAAGATTATCGTTATTTATTTTGAAAGTGTTTTGCCCAATTGCTGATAAAAAACATTTGTTTATTTTAATAATTATATATTTTCTTTGCGATAAAAATTATGACTTTTAATGAAAAACAAACATTTTGAAAAAAGTGAACTATATTAAACAGACTTTATCTAGCGTGTATGTCACAGACACTGTATTTGCTGTCAGACATTGGTTTTTCTGTAAAGAAATATTTTTAGCATTTCTCTTCATAGTATTAGTCTTTTCAATTAGAATTTTGAATGAATCATTTGTAAATTCTTTGAAAACACATAGTGAATGTTGAATTGTTATTAATTATAAATTAATCACGAATGCAATAATTAAAGAGTAGTAAATGGAAGATAATAAGAATATTGACTTAAAAAAAAAAAACAATTAAAAGCTGAACAAATTTAAATATAAACAATTAAGAATTTATAGTCGGGTATGTCCGATCATATGATACCCAACACCAGTGGTTATGTTAAAAATTTTTATTATTTTTTAATAATAAAATCTTTAATTTTATTTTTACCTTAATTCTGAAATATTTTAACAATTTGTTGACAAAAAGTGATTTTCCCAAAGAGGTTAATATGGTCATCAGTTATTGATGCAGAATATCATCGTGATGTTAGTGTTTATAAGTGAATTCTGAATATTTCTGAAGGAGACAGGTATGGGGGATAGGATCACATGAGGCCCGATCATTACGAAAATCAATCCAATCAAATCAAAAAATATGTTCTAGTTCTGTTCTAGTTCTGTTCTAGTTCCGTTCTAGTTCTGTTCTAGTTCTGTTCTAGTTCTGTTCTAGTTCTGTTCTAGTTCTGTTCTAGTTCTGTTCTAGTTCTGTTCTAGTTCTGTTCTAGTTCTATTCTAGTTCTGTTCTAGTTCTGTTCTAGTTCTGTTCTAGTTCTGTTCTAGTTCTGTTCTAGTTCTGTTCTAGTTCTGTTCTAGTTCTGTTCTAGTTCAGTTCTAGTTCTGTTCTAGTTCTGTTCTAGTTCTGTTCTAGTTCTGTTTCTAGTTCTGTCTAGTTCTGTTCTAGTTCTGTTCTAGTTCTGTTTCTAGTTTGTTCTAGTTCTGTTCTAGTTCTGTTCTAGTTCTGTTCTAGTTCTGTTCTAGTTCTGTTCTAGTTCTGTTCTAGTTCTGTTCTAGTTCTGTTCTAGTTCTGTTCTAGTTCTGTTCTAGTTCTGTTCTAGTTCTGTTCTAGTTCTGTTCTAGTTCTGTTCTAGTTCTGTTCTAGTTCTGTTCTAGTTCTGTTTCTAGTTCTGTTCTAGTTTGTTCTAGTTCTGTTCTAGTTCTGTTCTAGTTCTGTTCTAGTTCTGTTCTAGTTCTGTTCTAGTTCTGTTCTAGTTCCTGTTCTAGTTCTGTTCTAGTTCTGTTCTAGTTCTGTTCTAGTTCTGTTCTAGTTCTGTTCTAGTTCTGTTCTAGTTCTGTTCTAGTTCTGTTCTAGTTCTGTTCTAGTTCTGTCTAGTTCTGTTCTAGTTCTGTTCTAGTTCTGTTCTATCTGTTCTGTTCTAGTTCTGTTCTAGTTCTGTTCTAGTTCTGTTCTAGTTCTGTTCTAGTTCTGTTCTAGTTCTGTTCTAGTTCTGTTCTAGTTCTGTTCTAGTTCTGTTCTAGTTCTGTTCTAGTTCTGTTCTAGTTCTGTTCTAGTTCTGTTCTAGTTCTGTTCTAGTTCTGTTCTAGTTCTGTTCTAGTTCTGTTCTAGTTCTGTTCTAGTTCTGTTCTAGTTCTGTTCTAGTTCTGTTCTAGTTCTGTTCTAGTTCTGTTCTAGTCTGTTCTAGTTCTAGTTCTGTTCTAGTTCGGTTCTAGTTCTGTTCTAGTTCTGTTCTAGTTCTGTCTAGTTCTGTTCTAGTTCTGTTCTAGTTCTGTTCTAGTTCTGTTCTAGTTCTGTTCTAGTTCTGTTCTAGTTCTGTTCTAGTTCTGTTCTAGTTCTGTTCTAGTTCTGTTCTAGTTCTGTTCTAGTTCTGTTCTAGTTCTGTTCTAGTTCTGTTCTAGTTCTGTTCTAGTTCTGTTCTAGTTTTGTTCTAGTTCTGTTCTAGTTCTGTTCTAGTTTTGTTTCTAGTTCTGTTCTAGTTCTGTTCAAGTTCTTTTCTAGTTCTGTTCAAGTTCTTTTCTAGTTCTCTTCTAGTTTAAGTTCTGTTTTAATAAAAATGTTTTTAACTCTCTATCTTCTCCCTTTCTCTTTCCAGATACCCATTATGAAAATGCAACCGTCATTAAAACGCCGCTCTTCCCCAAAGATCTCTTTACCAAAGAGCAACTCGAAAATGGTGCTGTTGTATGTCATATTATCGGTGTGATATACATGTTCGTAGCCTTGGCCATCGTTTGCGATGAATTCTTTGTGCCTTCCTTGGATGTGATCATCGAAAAATTGGGCATTACAGATGATGTTGCGGGCGCCACATTCATGGCAGCCGGCGGCAGTGCGCCCGAATTATTCACCAGCGTTATTGGCGTCTTCGTGTCATTCGATGATGTGGGTATCGGTACAATTGTCGGTTCGGCTGTCTTCAATATACTGTTCGTGATCGGTATGTGTGCGTTATTCTCGAAAACGGTGCTGACGCTGACGTGGTGGCCGCTGTTTCGTGATTGCACCTTCTACAGTATTAGTCTAATGGTATTGATATACTTCTTTCGGGATAATCTCATCTACTGGTGGGAGGCTCTTATTCTGTTCAGCATTTACTGTGCCTATGTGACCTTTATGAAATGGAACGTGGAGGTGGAGACGTGCGTCAAGAGAGTGATAACGAAAAATAAGGTGACTCGCGTCCGAAGTACAGATCAGCTTATGCCAGCAGTAAGTAGTTGGGAAGTTTTTTTGCTAAAAAAAAATGAAAAAAAAAAACAGAATAATTGAAATTGAATTTGAATTCTGAAAAATACGAATTTTGATAAAAATTTAAAATGTGTTGATAAGTAATTAAAATATCCTTTTTTTAAAATTAATGTGTGACCTTAAAAAGGATATTGTCATATTTTATTGCCAGTATTTATTTATTGATTTTTTTGTTTGTTTTTGTTTTTGTTTTGTTTTTATTATTTTTTAATTATAGTTTGAGTTTTTCACTAATTGGCTTTAATTGGTTAGTTGTTTGTTTTGAGAGTTTTTGTGGATTTTGTTAATTTTACAAAATTTTCGCAAATTTAATCTTTTTTTTCCAATTTTGTTTATTTTATTTAATTTGTTTGTTTTTTTTTAGTTTATAAACAAATTGCACTTTTTGCTGTTGAAATGCATGTTTAAAAAAACTGTATATTTAGTTTTGTTTTTCCAATTAATTGAATTTAGTTTTTGTTTAGTAAGTGTTAAATATTTAGAGATATTTTGTTATAAATAACTAAAAATATATTCAATCTGACAAAAGGATTTATTAAAAATTTATAAACAATAAAAGAATTCTATTAAATTTAGCTACCAGCATTTATTTTGGTAGAAAAAATAGCAAATTTTGATTTCACTTTAAAAATAATTATAGAATTTTTTAGTGAAACTTTCAATTTTAGATCAGTTCTACTTTAGTTCTAGTTCAGTTCTAGTTCAGTTCTAGTTCAGTTCTAGTTCAGTTCTAGTTCAGTTCTAGTTCAGTTCTAGTTCAGTTCTAGTTCAGTTCTAGTTCAGTTCTAGTTCATTTCTAGTTCAGTTGTAGTTCAGTTCTAGTTCAGTTCTAGTTCAGTTCTAGTTCAGTTCTAGTTCAGTTCTAGTTCAGTTCTAGTTCAGTTCTAGTTCAGTTCTAGTTCAGTTCTAGTTCAGTTCTAGTTCAGTTCTAGTTCAGTTCTAGTTCAGTTCTAGTTCAGTTCTAGTTCAGTTCTAGTTCAGTTCTAGTTCTGTTCTAGTTCAGTTTAGTTCAGTTCTAGTTCAGTTCTAGTTCAGTTCTAGTTCAGTTCTAGTTCAGTTCCAGTTCAGTTCTAGTTCAGTTCTAGTTCAGTTCTAGTTCAGTTCTAGTTCAGTTCTAGTTCTAGTTCAGTTCTAGTTCTAGTTCTAGTTCAGTTCTAGTTCAGTTCTAGTTCAGTTCTAGTTCAGTTCTAGTTCAGTTCTAGTTCAGTTCTAGTTCAGTTCTAGTTCAGTTCTAGTTTAGTTCTAGTTCAGTTCTAGTTCAGTTCTAGTTCAGTTCTAGTTCAGTTCTAGTTCAGTTAGTTCAGTTCTAGTTCAGTTCAGTTCTAGTTCAGTTCTAGTTCGTTCAGTTCTAGTTCAGTTCTAGTTCAGTTCTAGTTCTAGTTCAGTTCAGTTCTAGTTCAGTTCTAGTTCAGTTCTAGTTCAGTTCTAGTTTCAGTTCTAGTTCAGTTCTAGTTCAGTTCTAGTTCAGTTCTAGTTCAGTTCTAGTTCAGTTCTAGTCAGTTCTAGTTCAGTTCTAGTTCAGTTCTAGTTCAGTTCTAGTTCAGTTCTAGTTCAGTTCTAGTTCAGTTCTAGTTCAGTTCTAGTTCAGTTTCTAGTTCAGTTCTAGTTCAGTTCTAGTTCAGTTCTAGTTCAGTTCTAGTTCAGTTCTAGTTCAGTTCTAGGTCAGTTCTAGTTCAGTTCTAGTTCAGTTCTAGTTCAGTTCTAGTTCAGTTCTAGTTCAGTTCTAGTTCAGTTCTAGTTCAGTCCTAGTTCAGTTCTAGTTCAGTTCTAGTTCAGTTCTAGTTCAGTTCTAGTTCAGTTCTAGTTCAGTTCTAGTTCAGTTCTAGTTCAGTTCTAGTTCAGTTCTAGTTCAGTTCTAGTTCAGTTCTAGTTCAGTTCTAGTTCAGTTCTAGTTCAGTTCTAGTTAAGTTCTAGTTAAGTTCTAGTTCTGTTCTAGTTCTGTTCTAGTTGTGTTCTAGTTCAGTTCTAGTTCAGTTCTAGTTCAGTTCTAGTTCAGTTCTAGTTCAGTTCTAGTTCAGTTCTAGTTCAGTTCTAGTTTAGTTCTAGTTCAGTTCTAGTTCAGTTCTAGTTCAGTTCTAGTTCAGTTCTAGTTCAGTTCTAGTTCAGTTCTAGTTCAGTTCTACTTCAGTTCTAGTTCAGTTCTGGTTCAGTTCTAATTCAGTTCATAGTATTGTGTACTTCACCTTAAATTAAAAATTTAATTAAAAATTTAAAAATACTACTCTAACACTTTATAATTGCTGTGTTAACAAAAATTTTCTTATACAGACAATTTGTCATTATAATTATGTTGAAAATTTAATAACAATACAATTTATAAAAATGCAATTATTTTTGCAAAATAAATTAATTGAACACCCACTTTTTTAGCACACAGAAAATTCAAGACAAGATAACTTTTGGTAGCTCAAAACTAATAAGAAATGAGATATAAAAAGAAATAATAACTAAATAGCAACTTGTACACGTATTGTGTCTTAAATTTTTTTCTTATTTTACGTTTTGTTCGAAAAATGCAGGCACAGGAAGTCTTACAACTTACATGCTTACATTTGTATATGTATTTATTTGTGTGGGTATGTATTTAACAAACTAAAATAAAATGTTCGAGAAACTAAATAAGAAATTCTGAAATATACTTAAGAAAAACGAAAAATTACTAATGAGGAATTTAGAGTAAAAAGGATTTACAGGCCAAGAAATGCTGAAGAATAGCGGAATAAGGTTTTAGATAACTTTTTATCATGAATTTTTTTATATGAAATTTTGTAGAGTATAACAGTTTTTTTATATTATTTACAGTTAAACAGTTTTATTTTATAGGAGAAAGTGTGTATAATAGATTTATTCTACAGGAGAAGGGATGGGTATAACAGTTTTTTTCTATTTTAAAAAGAATATATAAGAGATATTTCTATAAAAAAAGTGCTTTCTTTTTAGAAATTGTATGTTACAGTTTTTTTCTATAGAAAAAATTAGGTATAACAGTTTTCTCTATAGTTGAAAAAAGTTGTGTGAGAATTTTCTATAGGAAAAGTTTTTCCTATAGGAGAATGTGTGTATAACAGCTTTTATATAGACAAAAGGTTTCTATAGATAAAGGTGTGTATAAGAGTTTGTCTATAGAAATATGTATGTATAACAGTTTTATCTATAGGACGAAGTTTGTGTAAGAGTTGTTTTCTATAGGATAATGTTTGTATAACATTTTTCTGTAGAAAAAATATTGTATAACAGTTTTTTATAAAAAAAATTGCAGTATATTGTAGTTCTAACTGTAAAAAACAGCTTTTTCTATATAGAAAAATGTTTGCATAATAGATTTTTCTATAGAAAAAAGTGTGTATAACAGTTTTCTGTGTAGAAATAAATGTGTTAAAAGTTTTTTCTATAGAAAAAGTATGTATAAAAGTTTCTTCTATAGAAAAGGTATGTATAACAGTTATTTCTATTGAAACGAGTTACGCTTAATACTTTTTTTCTAAAGAAAAAAATTATATAACAAAATTTATATAACAGTTTTAAGTGTGAATAGCAGTTTTTTGTATAGAAAAATGTGTCTATAACAGTTTTTCTATAGAAAGAAGTGCGTGTAACAGTTTTTTATATAGAAAAAGTATGTATAACAGTTTTTTATGTAAAAAAAATGTGTTTATACAGTTTTTTATACAGAAAAAAGTGTGAATGATTATTTTTAATATAGAAAAAGAGTGTATAACATTTTTTTATGTAGAAAAAAGGATGTATAACAGTTTTTTCTACAAGAAGAAGTATTTATATTTTATTATAGAAAAAAGTGTATATAACTAGAACAGAAAAACTATAGAAAAAAGTGTGTATAAAAGTTTCTTATATAGTATAAGGTGTCTATAACAGTTTTTTCTATAGAAAAAGGTTTGTATAACAGTTTTTTTATGTAGAAAAAAGTGTTGACTACAGATTGTGTATATAGAAAAAGAGTGTATAACAGTTTTTATATAGAAAAAGTGGGTATAACAGTTTCTTCTATAGTAAAAGGGTTGTATAACAGTTTTTTCTATAGAAAAAAGTTGGTATAACAGTTATTTTTATAGAAAAATGTGTGTATAATCGTTTTTTATGTGGAAGAAAGTATGTATAACAGTTTTTTTTTACATGGAAATAGAGTGTATAAAACAGTTTTTATATAGAAAAGTTGGTATAACAGTTATTTTTTATAGAAAAATGTGTTTATAACAGTTTTTCATATATGGAAAAAAAGTGTATAACAGTTTTTTATGTAGAAAAAGGTGTGTATAACAGTTTTTTATGTAGAAAAAGGTGTGTATAACAGTTATTTTCTATAGAAAAATGTGTGTATAACAGTTTCCTCTATAGAAACACTTCTGTATAACAGCCTTTTCTATAATTAAAAGCATGTATAACAGTTTTTTCTATAGAAAGTATAACAATTTTTCTATAATAAACAGCATGTATAACAGTTTTTCCTATAACAATATTGTGTTTAACAGTTTTCAGTAAACCTGTGTTTAACAGTTCTTAAGAAGTTGTTGTATAACAGTTTTTCTTATATAAAAAGGAGTTGTTTGTGCATAGAAAAATTAGTGTATAACAGTTTTCTCTAAAGAAAAAGTATATAGTATAACAGTTTTATCTATGAAAGAACCGAGTGTTTAGCTTTAAAATTCATTCCCTTTTCAAACGCCTAACAGTATGCTTTTAAATTTGTATTAATATTGTTAAGAAACACACACTTATGCACAATTGTTTGTTTTTCTGCTCTTCTTCTTCTTTATATTCTAGTATTTTACTTCGTTTTACCAACAAAACGCACTCATGTTGTTATTGTTGTTGTTTCTTCGTTTCAAAACAATCATTAAAACAATGTTGTCGTGTATTGGTTTTTTACTCTATATAGGTTTGTTTGTATGTGTGTGTGTGTGTGTGTTTGTTTATATATAAGATTGAGTGGGTGTAAGAGA